GTTTCATCCATAAAAGGAAGGGTACAGTGGTGCCCGCACCGCAGGGTCACATGAGCATCAAATGTGTCAGTATACACAGAGCTCTGAGGTATGCCTGGTGCAGAGGGCGAATTCTGCAGGCATTAGCATGGTTATCAATGCTAGCATTACTATGATAACATGGTGTTTATAATACGTTTCTATATACGTATATATGCACGTGTGTTTATTGTTCTGTAGTGCTGCATCGTACAGCAATGCTCTAATATATGAGTATTGTTGCTGGAGCAGAAGGAACGTGCAGTTACCCAAGACTGAACTCGGTTGCTCTCCACATGTGCCTGAATTGGGAATTACTAGATTAAAGATTGCCTGTGTAAAATGAGAGGAGGGACCCTTGTTTTCCTGCCAGCAGAGGGCTCAGTGAGTAACCCTGTCCTTGACAGTTTGCAGATGCGGCAGCAGCGAGTGGATTAGTCCTGGGATGGAAGTTGTTACAACTAACTGCCTGTTATTCACTTGATATTGTGTATTTCACATCAATGTGTGCTTGAGCTTTGGCCAGGCCATTTGCTGTCAGTAGTAGCAAACTGTAGATGTGTTCATTGGGATCGATAGCCACTTTTCTTCAGATGTTCCACAAGCATGAGAAATGTAGTGGATAATTTAGAGGTTGGAAGTGAAGTGACTAGTAAACAGCAGTGCAAACTATCTGATTGAAGCCATTCGCCCTCAAACCCGTTCCTTATGAGGTAAATGCTGAGGCCAATATGCACCTTCCTCTCTCATTATCTTTAACTCTGGTCTTTGTCTCTTTGCTGTCATTGCAGCATTGGCCACACATAGCTACATACCCCTTTCCTTCTCTAAGAATAAGGACCACCTCTGTGCAGTCCTGAAAGTTACTGGTACTATCCTTCCCATACATCCCACTCCTGTGGGAAGCACAGCGGCGGTGTCACGAGTCACAGCTTCATCGTGGGGTTGAACCAGGACAGTGGCTGGTCCATAGCTCTTTCAGCCATTATTTAATTAACTGTTTTGCTTATGAAAGTAACTTTTTGAAATCCCCAGGAATTCGGCTTATTGGGATAATTTTTTCACTTTCTCACTTAATCTGCTTGGGTGTGTTAGTTCCTAGGACGGTGTTAATGGAGACAAAAATCTGAGTTGGTTAATAACGAAGGGAATGCAAATTGAAATGACAATGAGGAATGGCACTTCACTCGTCACACTGGGGACAGCTTTAAGGTTGAATAGCAGTGTTGGCACGAGGGCACAGACACAGGGGCTGCTGACAGGAAACAGAACACCTGGGGCAAACACCTGGGTGTGAGGCCAGCCCAAGCTTGCTGCCCCGGTCTGCCCCTCAGCTGTGGTCATACACACCTTTCACTCCCCTCCTGCCCATAAACTGGGGGACGGCCGTGTCCCTCTCACAGAGTCACTGTTAACAACATCAAGTTAATGTATCTAAAATGCTGAGAACAGCGTACTGCATGTAACCAGTGCCATATGTATGTCTAATCAATGAAAAAATAATGCATGCTGTTTGTGGGGATGCAGAATGATACAGAGTTTTTTTAAGGTATCTAGACCTTACTCAATTTTTTAATGTACTTTTTTATTATTTCATTCCCTTTCTAATGATGTATCTTACAGAAATATTTCCAGCTGCATAAAAATAAAGTGGGGTAAAGTAACTGGTCATATATTCATATTACTGAGCACCATGTCACAAGAAGGTCAGCCAGTTGTGTCTGCAGTTCACATAGTACACACGGTCACACATGCACACATGCACACTCACCTGGGAAGATCCGCAAGGTATATTTAGCGAAAAAGCAGGTTGCAGAAGAATATACATATTGTGGTCCTGCTTCGCTTTGAATATAAAGGTATTTGCGTGCACACGTATTTTATATTTTTATATGGAAGTGCATATTAAAGAAGCTGGGACACCACATGCTGAGCCGTTGGTGCTGGTTGCCCGTGAGTGGGGAGAGAGTAAGCTGGAGCTCTTGCCTTGTTTTGCTGTGTGTCCTTGCACAGTGTTAGACCTGCCCATACAAGGATGTGCTCATATCATTTGTCTTAAGATTCCCTAAAGAGAAAACTTCACAGTGAACTAAAAGGTGCTCAGTCTTCTAGGCCAGAGGCTGGGAGAGGGCCCGGGAGAGTCCAGCTCAGGGCACAGGTCTGGATCCCCCACGCTCACCACTCACACTCACAGCTGGGCTAATTGTGCCTTAGTTTTCTGATCTGTGATGTGGGGGAAGAGTGATGCCCATGTAGTTTTGTGAATCAAGTGAGTAACTTTGTGTGAGGCCTCAGGACAACTGGGGACACACAGGTATCAACTGAGCAAAACTTTTATCATCGGACAGGAGGTGCGGTTGGCTGGCAGGACTTGCAGAAAAGACCGGAGGACAACACTGAGACTGTGTTGTCTGTGGTGAGGCGGGGTGTTGATGCTGAGCGCTGGGTCTAGGATTCACGTGCATCTGTTCCGCTTTTTTGTAAATCTGCCAGGACATGAGCCAGGGTCTGAGCTATCTCTGACCAGCACGGACTTTGTTCAATATAAATTCACACACACAAAAATAAAGTGAAAAATATATAAATTCACAGGGGCAGGGTTTGAATCAATGTAATTATCAGTGTCAGTGTTTGACATTTCAAGTGAGGATACGCAATCTTTCAGAATTGTCATTTTATAGACCTGATTGGAAATTTCCTTTAACAAACTCAGCTCATAATTTAAGCTGTTTATTACATTTTGGAATCTTGCCTCTCATTCACTATTAAACATAGGAAAGCAGGTCTCGTAACTAAGACAACAGACTGCACATTGTTGGATCTTAAAAAGGAGCTTTTCCCTTCTGGCTGCTTGGTTACCACACACTGGCGTTCTCGACTCTTCCATCCTTGGGCTGTGCCGTAGCACGTACAGCCAGCATTTTGCTCTCACGTGGCTTTATAATGCAGCATACTAGTTTCCCAGGGCTGTGTGTTTAAACAGGAATCCGTTCTCTCACAGTTCTAGAGTCTGAAAGGCTGGACTCGGGGTGTCCGCAGGTTGGCTCCTTCTGGGGGCGCTGGGGCAGAGTGTGTCCCAGGCCCCTCTCCAGCTCTGGTAGTGCAGGCTGCCCTTGCTGTCCCATGGTTTGTACGTGCCTCCCCGGCCTCGGGCTCTGTCGTCACAGGGCTCTGTCTTCCCTTGTGCCTGTGTTTCTTCTTTTCTCTCCCTGTAGGACACCAGCCATTGAATTAAGGGCCCACCACCCTCCTCCAGGATGACCTCGTCTGAACTAATTATATCCTCAAAGCCCCTAATTCCCAGTGAGGTCACATTCAAAGTTTCAGGGGTTAGAACATGGACATATCTTTTGGGGGACACATTCAACCCACAGCAGGTACTAAGGCTTATGAATCCTGACTCTCACCTGGATCTTTGCCAGGTGCAGTGGCAGGTGAGGAAGTCCTGGTAGCTGGGGGCGCCTCTCTTTGGTTTCAAGGTTCTGATGTGTTGGGGTCTTTGGAAAAGAGAAATCCAGGGGAGCAATGCGGATTCCTGTGTTCTGAGTGCATCGCTTCCACACAGCTTCCATGGCTTATTGTCCGGGCAGGCTCTCTTTGTGTGGTCAGCCCTGCCCTTTTGGTTTGCTACAGCATGATTCTATTTCCAGGGCCTTTTAGGCTTCTCTTTTTATTGAGATAACACATACTTCTCTTTAGAATACTCCAGTTACTTGATTCAAATGAGACCTCCTTTCACGAATTTCAACTTTCGTGTTTCCCCATTTATGCTTCTAGGTTCATGATATTTGGAAGCCAAAAATAGCAAACTTCTATTTTTATAGTCCAGCCTTTAGATCCTAAAACTGCTCTGAACATTTGTAGATGGAAAATTCCAGAAATAATGTGGTGTTTTTCTAGACTGTGCTCTCACTCAGCGCCCATGGAAGAATGTTTAGTTTGTAGGGATAAAGCCCGTGGTCTTGGAAACACTCACTTGTTCCCTGATTCAGTCAGACACTTACTGCAGACACTGCCGCAGAGGTGAGGGCACGGCCCTGACCAGGAGGTTGAGTCGGGAATCGGGGCCTGGTGCCGGCAGGCAGGCAGACGGCCCCCTCTGTGGGGTGGGAGCTGGCAGCATTTGAGCCGCCCCAGAAGACAGTGAGGGGGGCCGTCAGGTGGACATCTGTGAAAAGAACTTCCAGGGAGAGGCCAAGACAAGTGCAGAAGCCCCCACGTGGGGGCAGGCTGGGCACTGAAGGACAGTGAGAGTGGAGATGCGGCCAGGAGGGGCGGGGGTGAACCATGGAGCCCACAGGCCATGGAGAAGATGGACCGTGGGTACAGTGAAACCGTATTTTATCCAAAACTCCATATCCCATGACCGTAAAGCATGTCACAGCATGTCACAGCATGTCTCTCATCCAAACAGCATCCCTGAAAACTTCCCATCCAGAACGGCATAGCATCAACCTCATTTTAAATTCTCACACATACCATTGCTCTTGAGCCTACACCATGCGCATCTGAACTTGAGTCTTGATAAGCATGATCTCCATCATTTACATTCCATGCTGTCATTATGTTCTTACAATCATTGCTCTCCCTTTTTAACCATTTCCCATTTCCCAAACTGGAAAATGTAATCATGCAGAGATACAGAGTGGAGAGAGGGAACTGAACCAGTTAGTTTATGGGGGGTGTGTGTGTGTAGGGGGAAGGTGTTAAGGGAATGCTGCAATGTCTTCACTTTTCTGAGGTGTTGTTAAAATACTCTGGAAACCCAGAGGAAGAATTAGTGGGCACTAACGCATCAAAACCAGGGCCCCGGGCAGGCACCCCAGACGAACCCCAGAACCCCTGAAGCTGAGAACCCCAGGCGTGTGGCAGCCCTCAGGAGTCCTGTGGGACCCAGAGGTGGCTGACTTTGCCTTCTGGGGGCGTGCGTGCTCACATGCTCATCTGCACTTCTGCATATTTAGACAAAACTGCTCTTACAGGCCCACAGACGACAGCAACCAGCCCCCGGGCCGGGGCGTCCTCTCCATGCACGGGCTGACCTATGGGGTCATCCGGGTGGACTCGGAAGAAAAGCTGTCTGTGCTCACCGTGCAGGACGTCGGCCTGGTGATGCCTGGAGGTGAGTGTCGGCCCAGGGCCACAGGCAGCGCGGGAGTTCAGCCAGTGTCCCCGCTGTGGCTGGGGGGTGGATCAGATATCAAATGCTTCCCTAACGGCATCACTGGCCCCTCTGGCGGGAGCTCCTGGAATAATGCCTACCTCCAGTCTCCTCACATGTTTGTTAAGCTTCACGGTTGGCAGTAGCTGCCCCTCCTGGTGACAGGAAACCCAAAATTTTCAAGAAGCTGGGGAGGACAAGCTTCTGTGTGGCCTCGTGCACTGGAACCTGGGGTCCACTTCCCCTGGGGTTGGTGGGGCTTCTCTGTCCCTCCAGCGGCACCTGGTGGCTTCTCCTCGGGGGGTCAGGTTCTCACTGGTCATCCTGATGCACCATGCAGGGCTGGGTGCTGGCTCGGCTTGTGAGAAAACCCGTGAAAACTGAGGAACGGGGGTCTGAGTATTCAGTGAAGCTTGTTTTGGCAGTAGGACCCTTTTTAAAAGTCACAGAAACCATGACTACAAATGAGCAGAGAGAAGCCCTGGTTGAAGGGCTCACCCTTCAGGACTCCTGTGCCCCCCACTCCTGGCCCCGTGCTTGGGTGCTTCTTGCAACCTCATAGGGCTCTAGGACGTGCAGGGAGACCGTCTGGGCTGGAAGGAGAGGGGAGCCCAGCCTCTGTTCTGCGGAACACCTTTACCTGGCCCCACTTCTCCTCACGCGACCCCTCTCGTGACCCCTCTCTCTGGTCTGGGCCCCTGTGAACACTTAGGCCCCTGCAGTGGAGCCAGCTCCCTTTTCAGCGTCAGGTTCTACTTGCAGTGTGGACCTTTTCCTCCCGATGAGTCCTCTGTGCACAGGAGCGTGGTCTCGCCTCACAGGGGGACAGTCACGTCCACGCACAGCACAACCCGCTGACACGCCCGTGCACGGCACTGGCAGGAAAGGCACAGGTTCCGCACCACCAGCATGTGCCGTAGTCGGAGGCGTGGGCGTCTGAGTGCTGTAGGCACGAGGCCCGTGCGGACCCTCCCAGGAGTGTCCCCTGCCTGTCCATAGAGAGTCTGTCACCTTGTACCCCTGGTGTCACAGGAGCTTTGCTTCAATCCTCAAACCCTCCACATGCTGTGTGTCTGAGGCCCACTGCACACGTTCAGCCTTAGCCAGGCTTCCTGGCTCCTTTTCTTTAAATTTTTTTTCAAATAATAAATTGCCATGGTCTTAGCCTCAAAAGGTTGTTTGTACAGTGAAAAAACTCTTTCTGGCAATAATGCTTCCTTCCAGAAATGCTCTGGGGCTCCAGGGACACACGCACAGTGCCATATACATATGTACATGTTTTTTTCTGTTTCTCTTTTCATTTTTTAATTTTTTATTTTTGGAGAGAAGAGAAGAGAAAGAGTGGGAGAGAAACACCAATGTGTGGGGTGCCTCTCACGGGCCCCCTACTGGGGACCTGGCCTGCAACCCAGGCATGTGCCCTGACTGGGAATCAAACTGGCAACTCTTTGGTTCACAGGCCGGCACTCAAGCCACTGAGCCACACCAGCCAGGGCTCTTTTCCTTTTCCATGTCCTGTAATGAGAGAGCACTCTTGGTTTTTCCTCTGTTCGCTGTCACGTGATGTAGGGCAGCTCGTGCCTGTCTTGCATCTCAGAGCCTGTTGCAGTGCGTGAAGGGCTGTCCTTCCTTTCCAGGCCGTGGAGGGTACAGTGACTGTCCGTCTTGTGCTGCTGATAGTGATGCCGGGAATAACTCGTCTGTGCTTCATCTGCACAGGTGTGAGGATGACCGGGTGGAAAGGTTCTAGGAGTTGGATTTGTTTCTAGGGTAGATGCCCACAAAACTGGTGGTATCGTGTCCTTTGGAAAAGCTGTAAAGATTAACATCCTACAGCTAGTGAGGGATGACCCTCTCTCTTCACTCCTTCCTGCCCAGTGTGCGACAGATTTTTAAAATTTTTATCTAGTGGGTGAAGAATATTTTGGTATAATTTCGTTCTGAATTTCTCTCCCCGTGAGTGAGCTGTACGTCTCCTGTGTTTTACCGGCTCTGTTTCTTAAATGTGGCTGTTCCTGTCACCTTAACTCTGACCCAGGGTGACGGGGTCAGGCTCTTCCTGGTCAGCTCAGCCGTCACTGACAGAGACCCCCACCTCGCTGAACTGCCAGCTCCCTGACCAGCCGCACGGTCTGTGGTGGCCAGTGAGGGGCACACGTGTCGTGACGGCTTTGGGCGTGCATGCCACAGATGAGGAAAGCTTAGCGTCATTGAATTACATGCTGAAAACGGTCAGATGTGAAGATCTCAAGCAATATCCTCCGAAGGGCCCCGCTTGGCCGAGAATCTGAGGTCAAAGGTCACGATATCCACGGGAAGCTGGGGGCCTTCTACCCAGAGGAGCCTGACAGACTGTAGGGCGAGTGTTTGTGCTTCTCCTTGGGCGAAGCTGAAGGTGCATCCTGGAGGCTTCACGTGTGTTGCTGACGGTGTGGCTGTAGCCAGTGACCCCTAGGCTCGCTCTGTCGTCCTCATGTCTGTGGCAGAAAGGACAGCTCCTCTTACATACAATTTACACATTAAAATTAAAGCAATTGGAATAAGCTACTGAAGCCACAATTGTGAAATTTGACATTTTGCCATAACACGAAAAGTCATGACTCACTTTAGGGAAAACGGCCACCTGGTTGTCACCCCCCTGTCACACTTGCAGCTTTGTTCCCGATGCTGTTTCTTGCCATTTATGCTTCCGTTTGTATTCATTTCTCTCTGTGTCCGTCTCCATGTGTGTCCCTCCCTCTTACGTTCCCTGCACTCCGGGTTCAGCCATCATGTGCTCCGTGAAGCCCGACGGGATCCCCCAGCTGTGCCGGACAGATGAAATCGGGGAGCTCTGCGTGTGCGCGATCGCTACAGGCACATCCTACTACGGCCTCTCTGGCATGACCAAGAACACCTTCGAGGTAGGTCTGGGAGGTGAGCGCCATGCCAGGAGCACAGACATGAAAGATAAAAATGGCAGTTTCTCAGAATAATTTCTTGTAGTCATTAAACTGGTCTCACTTTCTTCTGCCGTTTTTATAGTTTTCAATACATCGAGCTCATATTGTTTTCACTTTGTAACCTATGTTGAAAAAGGGCAACTAACAGTTTCTTTACAATGGGCCTTTTCAATATATTGCTGTCCTCACCAGGCCTGTGTATGAGGCGCACCAGAGAAGGTGGGTAGGTGGAGAAACACGAGCACAGGGGCACGGCCTCACTGGGGGGGAGCCAAGAGCCCCCTTTTTGGCCTGTCAGTCTGTGCCACACTTGGGCAGGCAGGAACAGGTGTGCACACTAAATAACTGTCTCCACAGTATCGATAGACAGGTGTCTGTGGTGTGTGTGTGGTGGTTACAGTATACCGTGTGCACACATGTGTGGTGTGAGCACATGCCCCCACACACGTGGCCCGGGGAGTGAGAGGTTGAAGGACACGCTCAGCATTCTCTGAGCTCCTGCCATGGGCTGTGCAACGCCCGACCCCACGAGGGGCACGCTTCTGATTAAGTTGTGCACAGGGAGGCCTGAGTTGTTTGGGGACAAGTTTCTTAATGTTTAGAACTGTGGTTGTCAAATACAGATTCATGTTTTCAAGACACATCTAAATAAAATCCCCATCTCCTTTCTTATGTGATTCACCTGCCAGGTTTGAGGATAACAGGTGTAGAGTCTGAATAGGTGATTTGCTTCACTCATACCTTTTTCTAAGTGTGGTTCCAATAAGGAAAAACACTCTAACGAATAGGGCTCATTTCGCAACTAAAAGGCGTGATTTAAAATGCACCTTGATTCTCCATTTATCACGTTTATGCTGTGGCTTTACAAGCAGAATTAGTGTTTGTTAGACCATTGTCATGGCCTCTGCATATCGCCATTTAAGAGGCTTAGAAGCTCTGGAAAGGAATCTGTGAGGGGCTCTGCGTGTAGACTCGTGGGGCCAGATTGTGAGGTGCTGGGTGGGGGCAGGTGCCTTCCAGGTTTGTGGCGTCTGCTGCAGCAGCCGCCTGGGCTGGCTTCCTCGGCCAGGGTGCAGATTAGGAGACACGGCTGGAGAGGAGCAGGCCCCGCGGGCTCCGAGGAGGAGGGAGGAAGACAGGCGTCGCTGGGCACTCACAGCTCACGCTTCCCAGGTGTTCCCCGTGACGAGCTCAGGGGCCCCGGTCAGCGAGTACCCCTTCGTGAGGACAGGTCTGCTGGGCTTCGTCGGCCCCGGAGGGCTCGTCTTCGTGGTGGGCAAGATGGACGGGCTGATGGTGGTCAGTGGACGCAGACACAACGCCGACGACATCGTAGCCACGGCGCTGGCCGTGGAGCCCATGAAGTTTGTCTACAGGGGAAGGTGAGTGCTCCCTCTGTGAATTAAGCACACAGTTTTCTGTAGATGACACTTTTTGTATGAAATTGCATAAAATCCTTAAACTGATGGGACTCAGTTTACTTTTATGTAAAATGAAGCAACTGGACTCACTGACCTTTGTGATGCCATCTAGTTCTGAATGTCTAATTTTACAGAAATTTCCTGAGTCCGTAAATATACATCCATTAACTTTCCCTCTAAGTTAAATGAAAATATCCATTTGAGAAATTCATTTTTAATATAAAAACAATCCAAAGAGTCAAATATTCATCTTGGAGCAAGTCCTTTCAAAGGAAGGAACAGATGAGCAACAACAAAAATACCCATGGGGGTAGGCGACCCAACAAAAAAAGAAAAAAAACTTCGACTCATTTGGAGGGTATTCCTTCGCAGGTGCAAACTCAAGATGTGAATGGAGTGGTTTTCTAAATTTCAGCAGTCCTGATAGTTGCACCAAACTCCTCCCGTTGGTGCCGAGAGGTAGGAAAGTTATCATCAAGCCCGCAGGTGGCCTCAGGAGGAATACGGGTGATATTGCCTCGCAGCTTCATCAGGCTCGACCTCTCAGAGCTGCACTTACTAAGAAAAATGCACAAGATTCTGTTGCTAATGGTCAGTCATTGGCACTGAGATCCCCTGAACCAATAACCAGTGGCTGTAAAGCTCCTTATTGCAGACCGGTCCTCCTGCAAGCATCTCTAGCATGTGCTCACTGTGCCTTCCCTCTGTCCCTGCAGAATAGCTGTGTTCTCAGTGACCGTGCTGCACGACGAGAGGATAGTGATCGTGGCTGAGCAGCGGCCCGACTCCACGGAGGAGGACAGCTTCCAGTGGATGAGCCGGGTGCTCCAGGTAGCCCTCTTCCTGCCCTGGAGCTCCACCCTTCTCCCAACATGGCTCAAGGCAGCTGTGTGGCATTTGTGAGGATGTGGCCAACCCTCATCGACTGTGCTTCTGTCCCTGATTGTCACTCCATTTGATCAGAAATTACATCCACCCTGAAAATTAGATTTGCATTCCAGGAAAGTAGCTGTTAGACTGAGGTTGGTAGTGATCAGAAGTTTGTAAAACTAGCTCCTGCTTTCTGTTCATGCGGGGAGCAAGTGTAGATCTTGAGAGTGTATTTTCTTTTCTCCAAACTTCCTTTCTTAGTGTGCGTGGTAGCCCACAATTCCTCTGTGATGGTTCCGCCTGATGAGGCTTGGCAAGGCAGCCCCTCTTCCCTGGCACCTTCCCACAGGCCGCCTCCCTGTGCTGCTCATGCTCCCTCTTCTGTGAATGGTATTTTGCATGGTTCGAACATGTGCTCGATGTATCTTCACAGTGTCTGTACTAACACAGTCCCCTCCTGTGACTTCCAGGCGATCGACAGCATCCATCAAGTTGGGGTTTATTGTTTGGCCTTGGTTCCTGCAAACACCCTCCCCAAGACCCCACTTGGTGGGATCCATTTGTCAGAAACGAAGCAGCTTTTTCTGGAGGGCTCGCTTCACCCCTGCAATGTCCTGATGTGCCCTCACACTTGTGTCACAAACCTGCCTAAACCTCGACAAAAGCAGCCAGGTATGTCTAACGGCCGGGAGGGTTTGTGCTGAGTCTCAGATGGGCCTCTGCAGCCGGTGGTGTCGGTGCCACACTCACCGGGCCTCACGAACGGAGGCAATTCTCGGCCACTCTCCCCGACTCTGAGTCTCCACTCCCGCAGGAGTGGAGCTGCTCGCTGTATCCTACCAGAGGTGGGGTGAACAGGGGGTGCAGCGCCAGCTGACTCCACTCAGAGCAGGCGTGTGCAGGACATCTGGAGGGAAGGAGGTGCCCGTGTCCTGACCCTACTTAACTGGGAGTCAGAACTCCATCTGTGGTGGCCTCGGCGAGGTTTCTCCAGGTCACAGTTGCCTTGCACACAAATGAGAACGACGCTTCCTTACACGTTTCGTGAGTTAATTTAGGGGTCAGAGCTGCTAACACGTGGGAAAGCACTCAGAAGCCTGTGAAGAGTCTGCGAACCTGTCGGTGATACTCTGAGAGTGAACATTTTCCTGGTGCTCCGCAACTGGGGGACACATGATTATTTGTCATCTGACTTGCTCCTCCAAGAAACAAAATAGATCTCGCTCTTTTAGGGTTGCACAGTTATTAGTGAAAGGGAATTCATCTCAAGCATGCATCATGAGGAAGCAAATCTGCTGGTGGAGTCAGAAGGTTCCGGCCTCCAGGCTAGGAAAGGGCTCTGGCTGGGCTGAGGGGGCCTGCAGTGTGTTGCGCGTATTGACTTAATCTCTCAGAGCACCAGGAGGTGGCGCTCCCTTGTCTTCTTTCACAAATGAGGAAAATGCACCACCCACAGCTGCAGGGCCAGAGTGTGCTGGAGACAGACCTAGACCAATGGCCATTTCCTCCTCCCTGTAGAGTGGCCATGAGGGCAGAGTTTTTGGTGAGGCAGCCACAGGCAGTGGGGTCATCGCAGGGCACATACCCTGCGGTACATGTAGGGACCATCTGCCCCGGAGACTCACTCTCTGAGCATGAGGCCAGATGAAGCCGCTGGGGCAGAACGTGGTTGCCAGGGGAGAAGAGTGTTTTTCTCATGAGTTGAAAGATGTCAGAACTTGAACCCAGGTCCGTGACTCTGTGCGCCTCTGTCCCTTGCTGTCACTGTCCCTACAGCACAAAGATGCCTGTGTAGCAGTCAGAATGCAGCTTCCGCACTGTGGCACCTGTTCTCTCCTAGTGTGAGGTCATTCTCTTCAACAGCCTAGAAAGTCAGCTTTTTGCTTTCTGAGCCCGTTGGGTTAGCAGTCATCACTGTTCTTCTGTTGTTGTTCTACTTCCATCTTGTTAATGATTTTCTTGTATTCTAGATTTCCTTAACTAATACTCCTCCCCATTTTTCCTCTCCCCTTCCTTTTTTCTCCCAATCCTTGATTTACAAAGATTACTCTAGCCAATGTCAAGTGGCACTGACAGAGGCCTTCATTCTTTAAATTCTGTGGGCGCCCTGGCTTCCAGTGGGGGGCCTCTGAAAACACAAAGCATCGCCCTTTGGTGAGCATAGCCACCGACGGCAGGTCACTCTTTTGTCTCCGGTTGTCTCAGGGCATGGACTGCACTGGGGATGCTCTGTCTGGCCATGGTGGTTTTGTGCCTGGAGGGGGTCAGGACTCCCCAGGGTCCTCACACACTCCGAGGTGACCGGCACATCTCTGTCCTGCTCACCCTCACTCATCAGCAGACACCCTCGACCTAGTGTCCCCTGGTGCACAGACGCGGAGCGCGTCGTGGGGTCCTGCAGGTCAGCAGTGTGACGGCAGAATTCAGGACAGATATCTGTGGAGGCAGCTGATTTGCAAATGCGTACGATTCCAGAGGGACAGGGTACAGCTCACCTGCCAGATGTCAAAGACCCCGAAAGGAGAAACATGGCCGAGGGGAAAGACCAGGGTGCTCCTCGCTGAGAGCCACGGGGAGGGCCTCCTTCCTCAAGGGGGAGTGAAGGGAAGGTGACCAGTGGGACCTGGTACTGCTTTAACCCTGCGCTACATGGCGCTTATTGATATTTTATATCCTATCCTCTTGTTCAATATTAATTCTGTGTCTTCAAAAAGTTATTTTTGAACAAGCACGAAATGGCAGCTGTGTGGTGCTGGTTGTTGTCCCTACCTTAATAGATAGATGTCCTGTGATGTCCCTTAGGGAACATTTCCCTGAGGACTCAGTTTCCGTGAATGCAGGGAGGGAAATGGATAAGGTGATTTCTATGGCTTCCTTGAAATAAACATGACTCCAAACAAGTGCCCGGCAGCCAAAAAGAACATTTTGTGAGGCCATTTATTCATAAGGATTTTGCTAGATTCTTGAAACAGCCCCTAAAGTTTAAATCATTCGTAGACACCCCAGTTGCCTTTTAACTGAATGAATGTGTATTTACTCAGCTAACAACACTGTTACTATGAGAGTTTCTTAATTGGCTTAAGCAATTAAGACCTTAAGAGCACAAGGCCCTGGCTGGCGTAGCTCAGTGGATTGAGCGCGGGCCTCCGAACCAGAGTATCGCGGTTCGATTCCCAGTCAGGGCACATGCCTGGGTTGCAGGTCAGTTCCCAGCAGGGGACTTGAGAGGCAACCACACATTGATGTTTCTCTCCCACTCTTTCTCCTTCCCTTCCCCTCTCTCGAAAAATAAATAAAGAAAATATTTAAAAAAAAAAAAAAGACCTTAAGAGCACAAAACTGTTAAGAGACCTTTAACCCATCAGTTGGGCTAGCAACAAAATTATAAAAGCATCTCCCAGTTTTAATGTTCTGTTGATATATCCCATCAGAGCAGCTGGAAGAGACCTGAGGAATGTGCACAAGGGCGCAGCCCCTCCAGGGGAGAAACATCGCTCTCCCGAACCCTTGCCTCTGTCCCTGCCCAAACCAGTCAAGTATTGGAGGGCGGGAATTTGACAACACTGAGATGAAGTTGCTGGCTTGTGCATTTGTAAATCTGTGAATGGGAGCATGGGGAGAGACAGCAAAGGTGAATTTAATACGAAGTTTGGGTTCAGGTCAGCCTTGTATTTTCACATTCCGAGGGGTGAGGGCTGCAGAGGCCTTTTGCATACATCCCCCTGAGTCAACAAAGGAGAGAGCCTCCACTCTCCACAGGACGGATTTTTGTAAATAAAAGCAGCAGGAAAGCTGCCTGTCTTTCTGAATATTAGGGACATATAAACTCTTCAGAGCATGTGAGGAGAGAGACGTAAGCTCGAAGTGTTACAGCCAGGGAATGCCAGCACAAAGATCTTAGTGAGGCAAGACTGGACTCAGAGACAAACACAAAATAAGCCACCTGGAAAATGTAATATTCCCACCAAACAGTGCTTTTCCTACCATAGTTTGGATTCTTTTAAAAAAATGGGGAAGCCTTCGAACCAGGTTAGGCCAGTTCCTGCGTTGGCTTCAAAGAACTGTCCTGCCAGGTCTCAACAGAGGAGGATAACACTGTATGCTTCGTGGCAGGTCCTCAAAGTGCGGAACCAGTGACGGATGAGCAAGGCTGTAGACGAGGGCAGCTGTCTCCGGGCAGCAGCTACCTCGCTCCAACCACACAGCAGTGCGATTTCTTTCAACATGCACCACATTTACCTAATTTTCTGTTTCATAGTTTCTACTTTAAGAGCTAAGAAAAGAAATTTAGTCAGCCCCAAACTACCACACATGAAAATTCAAACATGATTTAGCTGATTATACAGGTTGTGTTCTATGACTGCATGGAAACCAGCATCAAGGCTCCTACAAATGGCTAAACCCAAAGGCACCAGTGCAGAAACCTGCGTCATGGGCTGTTCTCCACAGTGGAGCCCTGCCTGGAAGTGCCCGCGGCGCCCCCACACAGCTGTAGGGAGATGGCTGACTGATGGCAAACCAAATTCTAGACAGCTGTATGTCTAGAGAAGAGCAGGTGGCCTGTTCCCTCTTCGACAGTCACCTGAAAGGTATTAGGTGCCCTGACTGGCATGGCTCGGTGGGTTGGGCATCATCCAGCAAACCAAAAGGTCTCTGGTTCGATTGTGGGTCAGGGCACATGCCTGGGTGGCAGTCCATCGATGTTTCTCTCACACATCAGTGCTTCTCTCCTTCTCTTTCTTCCTCCCTTACCCTCTCTCTAAAAACAAATAAAGCCTTTTTAAAAAGGTATTAGGTGCTCACCTGCTGCTTTCCTCATTCTAGTGAAAACCAAGGTGACCACTGGGGTGGTTGTCACGGGACCCATGCACGTTATTAGCCATGTTTAGTGGCACTCACACCCCTCAGCCGAAATCTTAAAACCTGTGTCTCAGCTGCAGACAAACAGCTTTGCATGTGCAGTGAGTGACGCAGCGTACACCCTGACTTCTAAGCCTGTGACTTGGCCTTCATGGAAAACTTAGTAAGAATAGGACTCAATAGTGCCCCTCAGCTCTTATGTTATCAAACTGAGGGTTAAACACTGTCATCTTTGTTACTTTAAACTGCATTTTTTGGTAAACATCTCTCACCCTCCCTCCTCCTTTTTCCTCCTCCTGCACCTCTCTCTCACATGCATACACTCTCACACATGCTCACACCCCCACACACCCCCACACACACCCTTACACTCACACTGACATGTTCTCCTAGAACTCCTAACACTTTCCTATTGTGTGTGATGGACACTTAAAAGAAAAAATGTGAATGCAAGTATTTTCAGAAAAAAACTGAGGTTATCTAGGGTTTCTTGAAGTCAGAGATTTTGAAAGCATTAGTCCAGCTCTAAAAAAACTTCTTTTTATCATTAAAAAAGAGAAGGAAAGCTGCCAGGATAGATTGTTTCTGCATTTTTCTTTTGAAACGTGTCACAAATTCTGGAAAGAACATGGCGATCAGCTCGGTAACGGGCTTAAAGGGAACGTGGACTCTGCAGGAGCCTTTTGGTTTATTCCCCGTGTCTGTGGGCCTGACAAGCAGCCTAAACCGTCTAGTCCATGAAATTCCCAGGTGAGACTGTGTTGTGTCCTTCTCCAGTCTCACTCCTTAAGTCTATCCCAAGAGGTATTTATAAAAAGTGTTTGTTTGTTTGTGGCCAGTTCTCAGTGATGTGTGGCAGCACCGCAGAACCAGACTCACATAATTCGGGAGGTCTTTCATTACTTTGCTGTGAAATGTGTCATGTTTTAAATTCCGCATTTGTCTTGTGCTATATTTTTTTTGTGATCACTGATGTGAGAAGATTTCAGCATCCCCTTAACTGGGAAACAGGGCTGGAGTGGCACTGGGGGAACTTGGTGAACATGTTATTTCTGTGAATCCTTATTGAAGTCTATATATGCCATGATCATTGTAGTAACCTCACTGAAATTCTGTGTCAAAAACATTTTTTTCAAAGGCACGTCTTTGATAGGATTTCTCCAGAGTAAGCTCTTTAGCTGGGAGGGATGCCATATTTTTGTGAATTTCACATGTGTTTCCCTTACGCATGTGCCACCGTTTGCTTTCCAGAAATTGGCCCTGCCTCTGTGATGGTGGGGAACCTGGTGTCTGGGAAGAGGATTGCGCAGGCCAGTGGCAGAGACCTCGGTCAGATAGAGGACAATGACCAGGCCCGGAAGGTGAGAGCAGAGGGCCAGGCTTCTCTGAGCACCAACCGCCACCGCCCCCCCATAACCCTGATGCTGAATGACAGGGGCACGGACTCCCACTTCCTGCCCTGCCAGCCCAGCATCTTCCAATGATCTTCCCCATCTTTGGTGACCTTTGCTTTCTACCTGCCCTCTTCGTTCTGCAAGAGACACTGGTATAATTTTTAAGGAAATGTGTTTATTAGGGTGTACAGTGCCATATAACACATCACGGTGGCACAGAAGGGTGGATGACACGGTCCCACAACTGGCGGGCCTGAGATTAGTGTCTGGGCAGCCCTGTCCCATCCCAGTCCCCTGACCACTTGTTCCTAGTTTCCTGCCAGCCCTGACTGGGCACCAGACTGCCTCAGAGTGACCTTGTAGCAAAGCTTCAGTACTTTCATTGTACAAATGCAAGAAAGCATAGGCTCAAAACCAGGTTTGGGAGCCAACCTCCTTAAAGTGGCCTTAAGAATGTAGAAGTCCTCGGTCCCCCTCCACCACAGATACCTTTGTCACATGTGGCTGCGAGTCCCTTTATGACCATTTGACCCTGAGAATTCATGCAAGTCGCCAAAAGGTGGTCCCACTCTGTACAGCTACCAGGAAATGCCATCCACAGGATAAAATCAACCATCTGAAATATTTCAAATTGGGTAACAGTGATATGTCCATTGAAAGCAATGGTTGTGTCCCCCCCTTCCGGTACATCTCTGTGAATAACAGGAACTAAGGGAATATACGGTGCTTCCTGAGTCCTGACGTGAGAGAGGCTGACCTTTTCACTAGGACTGAGTCCATGCGATACACAGCCTCTGTGATTTGTGGTGTTTTGAATGACATCAGGGGCGCCCGTTCCAAACAACACATTTAAGAGAGCCCATGTTACAGCATGACAGAGCTGACTGCCATTGCAACCCAGAAATCACATGGTATCTTCTAGAAACCCCAGGAGGGGGTTTTTGTGTATGTCATCTGTTATCAGGGGGAATGAGGATGCACTTCTCTCATCTGGGACAGATTTCAAAAAACTTCTCCAGGGCTCGCATCTGAACCCTGAGCACCTGCATGTTCTGCCGACCACATCCGTCAGGGCATCCTCATTCCTCTGTGGAGACGCACCCTAAGAGCCCTCGGAGAGACTAGACCAATTTAAATGCTGCAGCGAGCCCCAAACCAGGTGTTCTGGGCCTAACGTCTGTGCTTCATTCCAGTTCCTGTTCCTCTCGGAAGTCCTGCAGTGGAGGGCTCAGACGACCCCCGACCACGTCCTCTACACGCTGCTCAACTGCAGGGTGAGGCTCAACCCCACACACTTGCTCCCTGGGGTGACCCCCCCATGCCTTCTGCTATTTATTATGTTCTTGACCTCACCCTCTCCTGTCAGTCTTCATGAATTCCTTCTAGTTATTTGTGTGTTGCTATTTTGACTGAGATTTTTTCATTTGAAGGTTGTTTTTAAATATAAGGGTTTACACATCTGTCTACGTATATATATGTATATACATATTTTAGCAGTTTTTTTGCAATATATCCTCCCAAAATAAGTAATGAATGATTTCTGCCACCAAGAACAATTGAAGATTTATGAGATATCTGTCCTTATTTTTATTACTGAGCTATTTTTTGTAAGTAAGAAGTTATATTTTAATTATAGACATTCATTCTTAGGAATGAAAATCATTTCTATTTTATAAGTATAATTAAAACACTTAAATTAAAATTACTTTAAAATTTGTGATGCAGGTTCCTGTCCCTGGCCCCTTGTTCATAGTCACTCGCTAAAAGCAGACGCTGGGTCTTAGGGAAATGTGCCCACTGGAAATGACAGGAAATCCAAGGGCAGGCTGTGGAGGTCAAAGCCACGAGCATGGAGCGGGTGTGGGCCTGAGACTGAGTTCCTTCGAGATGTGCCTGCTGTTTCCTGAGGCTTCTGATACAGAGGCAACTACATCCTGAACCTGTCGTGGGGTCACATCAGGTCCACACATCTGAATCCACCCCCACCCTTTCCAACACATATGCACACTTACCACAAACGCTCTATCCAGGCCCCGAACCATCATTTCTGTGGTTTTTATAAGGGTATTTCCACTTAAGTCAGCCTTCTAGTTCATCACTGCCCAATGGAAATATAACACAAGCCACCTACACAATTTTATATTTTCTAAAAGCAATGTTTAAAAAGGTAAAAAAGAAACTGATAGAACTTCATCTTAATAATTTGACTTAATATACCCAAAAGGTCACTTCACCACTTGGCCCCACCACACCACTAGTGCTTACCGTTGTGAACTCAGCTCCCTGATCCCTGCTCATTAAAGGTGGTGAACCACTCAGTTCCTGGCCGAGTGAGGCTCCTGTTCTGCTGCGTCTCCCTCCTCCACGACAGTGCCGTCCACAGGATAAGAGTTGTGTGCAAGATTGATGGTAGGAAGTTAGGGCATACTTCCTTGCAAATCATAGGGAACTTATTCTTGGACCTCGTTTACGTACAAAGAGCGTCTGTTATTTTTTTTAACAAAAACACAAGCCATTTCTTTTAACTTTCTTTTTTACTTGTAGCAATTTTACTTTAAAATTTTGAAGTATAAATCCTATTTAGCTTTTGCTCTTTTTAGTTGTCATTAATTTAATGTAAGATTTTAAAAATGGTAGCAGATGCACAGTCACTGACACCGAAATGCGTTGTCCTTTGATTAAGGTCTGGGCGGTGGGTTACCCTTCACTCCTACTTTGTCATGACAGTGCCCCAAACCCCTTTTTAAGGAACAGCCAGCCCCGAGTTCTTCATTTTCACTAGAACCTTCTGCTTTGATGGTAGGTTTCCATATGGAATCCCCAACTTTTTCCATGAAGGTTGGTGACCACTGACCTGAAGATAAGCAGCAACTGCTTCATGGACCCCTCACCCATAGCACTTCATTTTTTCTTAACGACAGGCATCTTGAGAAATGAAATGTGTAACTGCAAGTCAGTGGTATTTCTCTAGAGCACAGGTGGCAAACACAAGGCCCGTGGGCCAAACCCAGCCCTCCACCTTGTTTTATCTGGCCCTGTATCTTATTTCTACCTGGCGGCAGCACTGAGCTCTCACTTTCCTGTTAAGGAGCAGTTATATTTACACAGTCCTAAAATTACATTCGGCTCCTTGAAGACGACCCCGAGGCTGATGGGGCCCCTGGTGAAAATGAGTTTGACACCCCTGCTGTAGATGTAAAAAGTGGGATTGAGACTCCCATAGAACAAGTGATGATGGACAGTCTGGGACCAGATGTGACCTATGTCCCAAGTGGGCTCATGAGGTGGCGTCACGTCCAACCTCACAAACTGAGGGGGAGAGAAAAATGTGTTTGACTTACCTTGATGTGGCCTCTTTCCAACATTGGCGCTTTCTTCAGGGATTTTTTAGAATAATTTTGGTTGATCCCCAATCACCCATTGTGCTGACTCCAGCATGTGACAGGGCTTACCCGTTTGTCACTCTGAAATGGCAGGCAGTGTTGGGAAAACTGAGAGGTTCCTCAAGATAAGGGACAGAATGCCAATTAAATTAACCTATTGTAAGTTCTGATAGCGAACATTTTCATGAACCAGAGTCAAAATACTTTTTCAGAAACGCTCTTGATCTCTGGTTGTGAGTCTCCCATGCCTCTCAAATCGTATAGGCTTTTGTTATCACAGAGAAGAGGGTTGTTATAGGAGTCAGTGCCAGCCCTCCAGAAAGTGGGGAGATACCAGTTCCAGAAGTTGAACGGTACAGACTGAGAACTGCTGCTTGAGCTCAGGCAGCCATAGCACACCAACAGAATTCCGCAGAGCAGGAAGATCTGGCTTAGTGGGCACAGAAAGATGAACCTCCTCCGCCAGCACTGTCCCGTGGCATCCCGCCACCCACCAGCAATGCAGCTGATCCCCACTCAACAGTCAGGGGTGCAGGACTGGCTTGCTTTCAGGACAGCTGATGCCGGAGCATCAGGAGAACAAGATGGTCCCCTTACCACAGGTTTGGGGGCCAAGTTGGTCCTGGGCTTCACTTTGAAGAGCTTAAAGGACATTGGAGTCAAGAGGAGTTTTTGGTGTTTTTTTTCCCAGTTCCCATAGATACGTGTGGTGTCTGGGAGTGCATACACATAGGAAAGGTCCCTTGTTGGAGGTATAAGCTCTAATGTTTTGGCAGGATTTCTGAACTCCAGTCTCATCCATCTCTGTGTTCACCTGGCTTTGCACCACTCTATGTATCTGTTTCCATTTTCTTATTGGTTTTTTTTTTATACTGCTCTGGAAGGAAAATCATTAGGGAAAGTGTGGGTGATGAGAAGGTTCGACTCAAAGAGTGTAAGCTAAGCTTGTCCGCTGAGAGAGACCAGTCTCAGCTCAGCAAAAGGCACTGCTGGGCCATCTCTGTGGCCCCATGTGCTGTTTTTGGGTTGTCAGAGAGAATGTGCTGCCTCCTGGAGCTAGATGCAACCATTGGTAATTTTGTGAATGTCTTTGGCAAACATCAGGTGCTGGTTTTCATATCCTGATGCTTTATAAAGGGTTCTCCCACTGGCCCCACCCACTCTACCTCATGCAGGTGTTTCTAACAAATGTGTAATTTGGGGTGGATACTCTGTCTTTCTCCCCTCCCCTGACATGACCAGTCACCAGGTCATCACTGTCCTTTAACAACACCAAAGGTTCTGGTCTCTTCTATCTCCCACATCTCTTACTGTGAGCAGCTGATCAGCCCACCTCCCTTTTAGACTTCTTCCTCCACATAGGTGTTCAGGACCTGAACCAGGCTGTGGGTTCGGCCCCGGAAAGTGTCCTCTGTGTCAGGCTGTTCTCTCCTGTTACCTTGCTCACTCCTCCCCTGAAGCTCCAGCCTAAATACAAGTGTCTGGTCCAGTCCTTCAAGATCCTATCTCAGATTCTGGGATCCTCCTGGTGTGATTCTCCTGGACAGTGTGCATGTTGCTTAGGGAAAGTTCTTCACTCCGTTATCACTTGAAGGAGGATTTCATCATATAGAAGTGGTTCTTAAATAGCTTGTAGTCAGTGATGTCTTCACATCTGAGGTTTTGTGCAAATGGACCATAATGGTAACATTTATTCTCAGGAAAGCCTTCTGCAGTCAGTTTTATGTTCATAATTTGCAATTTATCCATATTTCTCTCTACAGTTTAAACTGTAAATACCATATATTTTGATATTTCTCAGTACCAATTTTGCTACTGGTCTTCCCTAAACAACCCCCTTTTAAGGTATTTGTTAGTTCAAATATGTTTTCCATTTGTTTGTAGATGTTTAAAAAGTCTACATTAAAAATTTGACAGTTAGTGTTTGTTTTTTGCTTTTTGGATTGTTTGTTGTTTGACTTCTTTGACTTTGATGTGGTCTTTCATAATAAACACTTGTAATAAGTCTTGTTTTCCACAGTACAAGTCCTGCAGGTTTAGTACTAATCTTATGCCCATGGCAATCACACTTAACACACAGAATCACTAGGTTGATTTTTTTATACATTTACCAATTTTAGGTTAAGTAATTATTTAAAAAATATTCGTTGTCAGCACAAATATATCCAGATGTGTCTTTAGCTGTGTATATCCTGGCTAGTGGGAGGAAGGGGAGTGCCTGGTGATGGTGTGGGAACTTGAGTCGGTGATGAAATGTTCTGAAACTGACCGCGGTGGTGACATACCTTTGAGTATGCTAACAGACACTGAACTGTACAATTAAATCAGTGACTTGTATGACCATATGAGCCAGATCTCACTAAAGCTGTTACGTTAAGAAAATCTGGCTTCCCCGCTTGTTCTTGCAACACTCAGGGCACAATAGCAAACTCGCTGACATGCGTCCAGCTGCATAAACGAGCGGAGAAGATAGCCGTGATGCTGATGGAGAGGGGGCGCCTGCAAGATGGGGACCACGTTGCCCTCGTCTACCCACCAGGTAAAAGGGCAGGACCAGCACTGCATGGGGCACCTTATTGCGCATACTGGAGCTTGATGACTGGAGTTGCTGTATTGTCACCAAGAAATGGCTCACTTGTCTGGTTACTCTACCACTCGCAGGAACTACGCTGCATGGCGTATGGCTCTTAGGGGCATAAATGAAGTGATATTTGACAAAGAATGTCGTATCTAAACTTGTTTTATTAGATATCTGAGGTACTTATTTAATCAATTGTTGTTAAGTCCTTAACTACGAAACTGATAATCATAAAGTTGAGTAATTCCTTAGAGAAATGACAAATTAAACTGAGGGCCTGCTTTGGCATTTCGTACCTAAAGCAACAGGCCAGCCCTGCACAGGTAACTCAGTTGGTTAGAACATTGTCCCAATACACCAATGGTTGCGGGTTCCATCCCTGTCCCCATCAGGGCATGTGACAAAAATCAACCGATGAATGCATAAATAAGTGGAACAACAAATCTATGTTTCTCTCTCTCTCTCTCTCTCTCAAATCAGTAAAATTAAAAAACCAAATACCAACAACAGGCCAAGTGGAAGTTACTACTGAAGTATAACAAAACCCCCAGGGGGAGAAAAGAATCTGTCAAGGTCTTTGTTGTCCTCCTAACCTAACTTTTTCCAGACTAGTTTTTCTGCTGATAGGGTTGACAACCATTGAATGATTTGATTTGTTTCCAGTGAGAACTGCTCTTCTTCTTGTTTAGGAATAGACCTCATCGCAGCATTTTACGGTTGCCTATATGCAGGCTGTGTGCCCATTACCGTCCGCCCCCCACACCCACAGAATATCGCAACGACGCTGCCGACCGTGAAGATGATTGTGGAGGTAACACTGCCTGGAGTGTCTGGGCACTTCCTCCTGCCCTGGGCCTGAGTGTTGGGCTCGTGGGCCAGAGCAGGGCCATATGGGGAGGGGCGAGTTGTGGGATTGCACAGGAGTCTGAAACCCAAGCGATGGGGCGGGACATGGCCTCTCCTCTCAGGGAGCTTCCATCTAGTGCTGGAAGCAGAAGCCCACCTACCCATGGAATTAGGGATTAGAGCCTTGCCCGACGCCTAGAGAAAGCAGCTCCCCGGACAGGGTGTCCCTGTAGACGTGCGGAGCTGCCCCAGCAGACCCAATGCACAAACCAAACCAAGTGAAAATTTACACTTTTTTATAATTCTTTCTCATGATTTGTAAGTGTCCTGTTCCTGTTTCAATTTTTGTGTGTGTGTGCCTGGGGAAATTTAAAAGGATTAGGAAAGGTGTTTCCCTTTAGAGAAAGAACCAGAAGGGACAAGACAGTTTGGGGACCCCACAGGGAATACTTTTTTGTAGTTAGGTTGGAGTACTTTCACAGTCGTTACACCCATTAGAAACTGTGGATGGTTTCTTGACGGACGTGTGTGGCATTTCCAGTAGGACAGCTAACAGTGTCAGCACGTGAGTTCAGAAGCTCTGGTCTGAGTGTGATCTCGCACTGGATCCTATTCAGCTATAGAAATTTCCAGGGACCTCGGTGCCCATGAGCTTTGTGTGGCATTCATGGGCGGATTCCTGGCTCTTTTGTACCTCCGCTGGCCAACGCTGGCTCCTCCTAAGGAGCCATGTCCCTGGGCGTCTAACCTGCTATGAAAGCCACGTGGCCTCAACACACATAGTGAGCAGATGTGTGCGGTGAGTATTCATCTGTGCTTTACCTTCCTTCCTCCATTCTGTTCTGTGACCCTCAGGTGAGTCGCTCTGCCTGCTTAATGACAACACAACTGATCTGTAAATTGTTACGGTCCAGGGAGGCAGCTGCAGCCGTCGATGTCAGGGCATGGCCGCCCATACTGGACACAGGTGAGTCCTTGAACCAGCTGGGTACATTCACTTCTCTGCTTTCCCACTGAGTCAGATACACTAACAGCTTCACTTTGCTCTGCAGATGATTTGCCAAAGAAGCGGCCGGCCCAGATCTACAAACCCTCCAACCCGGACACGCTGGCTTACCTGGATTTCAGTGTGTCCACAACTGGAATGCTAGCTGGAGTGAAGGTGAGAAATGCAGTCTGCCCAAAGTGCAGTGAGCCCTCGCAGTGATGGCTGGTTATGCCGTGTGCGGTAGGACTCTGGTGGGGACCAGCAGTGAACCATGGAGCGAGGCTCACGTAGGTGTTTCATTCAAGCTATAAAATGCATTGGCCACTTTTGTAATTACTTAGGCTGACTGATTCTTTCCAAATATTCCAACTTTTTTTTTTAATGTAAACACAGCTTGACTAGCCCTTACTAAAAAAAACTGTCTGTGTTTCTTTTTTAGTGGTTCTCAAATCCTAATTTTCTTTTGGCTGTAAAACTGTGCAGTATAGTTTCTTGGTTTTTAACACAGATTCTGTTATGATTTGCCAGATTGCTGCTCATTGCAGCTGCGATGACCCCTTTTCCTACTAAAGAATGAGGCTATTCTGTGTCCCCAGAGTTAGGGTCTTCCAGGCTCTGGTGAGGACCTTATCAAGGATATTTTAAATTTTCTGAAAAGTTTCCCTTATTAACCCCTTTCTCTCTTACCTGCCTCTGGGGTCTGACTGCTGAGTTTGCATGATTTACCTCATTTCTCTTACTCTGTCTATTACAGTTTTTCTTATTGTAGTAAAATACATGACATAAATTTACCATCTTAGCCAACTTAATTACGCAGTTCAGTGGTATTAAATACATTCAAAATATTACCCCTATCCCTTCCCAGAGCTCTTTTCTTCTTATAAAACTGAAACTTTGTCCCCATGAAATACTAACTGTCCACCACCCTCTCCCAAACCCCAGAAATCACCATTCTTTCTGTCTCTGATTTTTATACTCTCCATACCTCATGTAAGTGGAACCTTACAGTATATGTCCTCTTGTGTCTTCCTTCACTCAACATACTGTCCTCACCCGTGTTGTAGCATGTGTCAGAATTCCTTTTTAAGAGTGAATATTATTCCGCTGTGCCTACACACACGTTGCTTATCCACTCACATCAGTGGACATTGACCTTGCTTGCACATTTTAGCTGTTAACAACTAACGCTGCTGTGGATGTAAGTGTGCATATATTTGAGACACTATTTTCAGTTTGGGGGTATGTACCCAGAAGTGGAATTGCTGAGTCATATGGTAATTTTGTAATTTTTTGAGGAACAACTGTACTTTTTTACATGGTGTCTGTACCATTTTACCTTCTCACCAGCAGTGCCCAAAGGTTCCAAATTCTCAGCATCCTTACCAACACTTGTTTTATTTTAAAAGTAGGCATCTTCATGAGTGAAGTTGTATTTCACTATAGTTTTGATTTGCATTTCCCTAATGACTAGTGACAAAGAACATTTTTTCATGTGATTATTGGCCATTTGTGTATCTTCTTTGGAGAGGTGTCTGTTCAAGTCCGTTGCCCATTTTAAAATTGGTTTTCTTGTTGTTTAGTTTTAGAAGTTTTCTATATACTCTGGTCATTAATTCCTTATCAGATATGTAATTTGCAAACATGTTCTCCCATTCTTTGGTTGTCTTTTTGCAGATAGTGTCTTTTGATGCACAAAATTTTTAAATTTTTATGCCGTTCAGTTTTGTTCATTTTTTGTTGTTGCTGCTTGTGCCTTTAGTGTCATAGCAGAGAAAACATTGCCAAACCCATTGTCATAAAGGTTTTGTCCCATGTTTCCTTCTAAGTTTTACTGTTTTAGGTCTTACATTTAGGCCTTTGACCCATTTTGTGTTAATTTTGTACATGGCATCAAGTAAGACTCCAACTTCATTCTCTTACATGCATATATCCAATTGTCCCAGAAACAGTTGTTGAAAAGACTGTCCTTTCCCCATCAGGTGGTCACAGCACACTTGTAGAAGTTGTTTGACCATATATAGAACAGTCTATTCTTAGGCTTTTCAAAAAATTCCATTGTTTCATCTGTCTGTCTTTATGCCAGTACTGCACCATTTTGATTGTTACAGCTTTGTAGTAAGTTTTGAAATCAGAAAGTGTGGCGGGACCTCCAGCTTTGTTCTTTTTCAAGATTGTTTTGGCTATTCAAGTTTTGTTAAAATTCCACATGAATTTTACAATGAGCTTTTTTATTTCTTGAAAAACATTATTGAGATTTTGATAGAAATTGCATTAATCTGTGTTGCTTTGGGTAATGATGTCTCTGGATATGAGATATGTTTTCATTTATTTATGTCTTTAGTTTCAGGAATGTTTTATAGTGTCCATTGTTCAAGTTTTTAACCTCCTTGGTTAAGTTAATTTGTAAATATTTTATTATTTTTATGCTATTGTAATTGGGAACTGTTTTAATGACCTTTTCAGATTTTTCATTTAGTATACAGAAATGCAAGTGATTTTTGCATGTTGACATTTTTCTTGCTGCTTTGATGAATTCACTTATGATATCTAACAATTATTTTGTGGAATCTTTAGGGTTTTTTAAATATAAGATATCATCTATGAACAAAGATAATTTTAATTCTTCCTTTCCAATATGGTTGCCTTTTACTTATTTTCTTATCTAATTGAGCAGGCTAAAACTTCCAGTACTATGTTGAATGGAAAGGAAAAGTGTGAGCATATTTGTCTTTTTTCTTATCTTAGAGAAAAAGCTTTGTCTTTCCCAGCTGAATATGATGTTTGCTGGTTTTTCATGTATTGCTTTTATGTTGAACTACTTTACTTGTATTCCTAGTGAGTGTTTTTATCATAAAAAGATATTAAATTTTCTTAGATGCTTCTTCTGCATCAAATGAGATGATCATATGTTCTTTTCCCCTTCATTCTCTTAATGGGATGTATTAGATTTATTGATTGTCCTATGTTGAGCCATGCTTGCATTCTAGGAATAAATCCTCCTTGGTCATAACGTATAAGACTTTTATTGTGCTGCTGAATTCCATTTGCTACTATGCTCACCTAGTATGTTGAGGATTTTTATGCTAATGTTCATAAGGCATATTAATGTATAGTTCAGGTTTTTTATAGTGTCTTTGTCTGATTTTGGTATCAGAGAAATGCTAACCTCATAGAATGAGTTAGGAAATGTTCCCTTGTCTTCAGTTTTTTTTTTTGGAGAAGTTTGAGAAGGATTGGTATTAGTTTTTCTTTAATGTTTGGTAGAATCACCAGTGAAGCCATCAGGTCCAGGGCTTGTCTTAATTGGAATTTTTTATTTTTCTGCTGATTTGATATATATTTTTTACAAATTATAGGCTTATTCATATTTTGTATTAGTCATTATCTAGTCTTGGTAAGTTTTGTGTTCCTTCTTGATAGTTTGTGTATCAAATTTCATGAAATGGGATTTTTGTTTCATGTAGTTGGTGTAAAATTTGTGTACAATTGTTGATAGTACTCTCTCATAATTCTTTTTATTTCTGTAGAATTAGTAAAATGTCCCAATTTTCAATCCTAATTTTAGCAATTTGAGTCTTTCTTTTTCTTTTACTTCTAGCTACATTTTTCTGAGATTTTTCAAAGAACCAACTTTTGTTTTCATTGATTATCTCTACTATTTTTTTTTTTACATATTTATCTTTCTCTAATCCTTATTACTTTCTTCCCTTCTGCTAGCCTTTGGTTTGGTTTGCCCTTCTTTTTCTCATTTCTTTTTCTCCTTTCTTTTTATTATATTTTTCTGGTTATGCTATTACAGTTGTCCCATTTTTTCTCCCTTTGCCCTCCCACCACCCCCTCAGGCAATCCCCACACTGGTGTTCATGATCCATGGGTCATGCATGTAAGTTCTTTGGCTATTCCATTTCCAATACTGTATTTTACGTCCTCATGGCTATTCTGTAGCTACCAATTTTTACTTTTTAATCCTCTCACCTCTTCGCCTGTTCCCCAAATCCTCCTCCCATGTGACAACCATCAAAACACTCTCCATTCTGTATCCATGGTTCTGTCTCTGTTGTTCTTGTTTGTTTAGTTTGATTTTTAGACTCAACTATTGACAGATATGTATTTATTGCCATTTTATTTTTCATAGTTTTGATTGTCTTGTTTTTCTTCAATAAGTTCCTTTAACATTTCATATAATAGTTTGGTGATGATGAATTCCTTTAGATTTTATCTTGTCTGGAAACTCTTTTATCTGTCCTTCGGATCTAAGTGATATTTTTACTGGGTAGAGCAATCTTGGACAAAAGTCTCTGCTTTTCATGACTCTGAATATTTCTTGCTAATCCTTTCTAGCCTGTAAAATTTCTCTTGAGAAATCAGCTGACAGTCTTATGGGGACTCCCCTGTAGGTAACAGCCTTCCTTAACAGAGAAACTGTGTTTCTCTTGCTACTTTTAAGGTTATCTCTTTATTTTTAACCTTTGGCATTTTAATTATGATGTGTCTTGGAGTGGACCTCTTTGCATCCATCTTCTTTGGCACTCTCTGTGCTTTTTGGACTTGTATGTCTATTTCCTTCATCAAATTAGAGAAGTTTTCTTTCACTATTTTTTCAGATAGATTTCCAATTTCTTGCTCTTTCTCTTCTCCTTCTGGTACCCCTATAACAAAAATGTTGGAATGCTTGAACTTGTCCCAGAGGCTGCTTGTACTGTTCTCATTTTTTTTGGAATTCTTTTTTCTTCTCATTGTTCTGATTGGTTGTTTTTTGCTTCCTTATGTTCCATATCATTGATTTGATTCTTTCCTTTATTCATTCTATTGTTGTTTTCCTATAAATTGTCTTTATTTCAATTAGTGTATCCTTAGGTTTTCACTGGATCTTTTTTATGCTGTTGAGGTCCTCACTAAGTCCCTTGAACATTGTTATAAACAATGTTTTAAACTTTGCATCTGATAGATTTTGTTTAGTCCTTTTTCAGGAGTTTTGATCTGTTCTTTTATTTGGACCATGTTTCTTTGTCTCCTCATTTTGGCAGCCTCCCTGTGTTTGTTTCTATGTATTAAATACAGCTTCTTCGACTCTGTATCTTGGTAATGTGGCCTAATGTAGTAAGTATCCTGAAAGGTCCAGTGGCACAGCATCCTCTATCACCCAAGCTGGGTATTCAAAGTATACCTTCTAT